GGTTACACAAATCCGCACCTCACTAGCACACAATGACAAAATTGACAATTATCAACAACGGAAACGAAACGTAGAAAATTTTGAAAAAAAAGATCAGTACTACCAATAAATAAGGAACATAAAAAGTAAGCGGGAAAAGAAGAATAGATTTTTGAAAAGAGCGGGGAAGAATAGCGTAGTTTAGAAAAAATTGCAAAAGATGACTCACAAACGTATCTTTGAATAAAATGTTTTACACAAAAACCTACAAGATTAGAAGAGTGAAAGCAGGAAGTGAAGAAGAAGCTTTTAGATTCCCAAAAGAAAGATAAAATTGTAGGAAAGTTGCAAGAACAGAAGGAAGCGAAGAAATCAAAAGAAGAGATTTAAGGAAATGAGAACGCCTATTGGATGATATTCAAAACAAAACAAACAAAATTCCTAACCTAAAAATCATAATAAATAACGCAAAAATAAACCAAAAATGAACCCGTAACACACGATTACGGTTCCGTTAATGATTTTAAAATCTGCAGGTAAAAATCGAAGGGAAGTTTACACACAAATTGTCACTGTTTCTCTATTTTTGTCTCAATTTCATTGTTATATTTCTAAAATGTCCCCTAATTCCCTAAAATCCCATTTTTAATTCCCTCACTTACATTATTTCATAGACTCATTAGCATTACGTTTTGGAATTGTAACCTTTTTTTTTGGTCTAATCTGTGTCTCAATATAAAAGAATTAACTATTGAAAATATCGTAAAGTAAAAATTAATATATTCAAGACAAGGTCCGCAATATTAGAAGTAGCTTTTATTGTGTTTATTAAGGACGACGTTTAAGGAGTAAATTGTATCTGAATATATTACATGCAGTTTGCATACTTGGTAACTTCACATTGAATATACAAACTCGTTGGTGGAATGCAACCTATTTCACGAGAGTTACAGACAGATTGTTTGTTGGACAACCTTCTTGCACTTACAGAACTGAGTTTCCTAGTCTACTAATTTGATTATGAACTGGGACATGTATCAGCGTTGTCCATCGCTGGTAAAATAATCAGAGTTATGACATGATTATACTTTTAGAGCGTACGCAGAAAGACAGTGTGTCCATAAGTCGTAACAACTTTCTTGATAGCAATAAAGAACTCTAAACTTTTTAATGTATACCCGCACGAGTGACATTCGTCAGTTGAATAATAAACACCTCAAATCAGTAACGACTAAATTACACCCTTCCTGCATCGAAAGTACTCCAAATTACAGTCTTTTTCGAGCAGATTTTTCGACTTACTACTAAATTACATTGGTTTGACGTGCGCTATAATTTACTTAATACGCAAATAAACTGGTTTTTTTTAAATAACCTACTTCTTTCCCAAAGTCGTAGTAAGTGTACCACTATTAAGTAATATAGCTAATTGGTTCTCGACGGAATAAATTACTTAATGAATTGAAAAAGAGATTGCCTATTTTAGTACACATTGACATCATCGGTCACACGGGACTTGATAAATGTTGTATTAAACATGCGAACGTTCGTCAAAGTTGGCTACAATGGAAACTTCGAATGGTTGCGTCAAATATGATTGTGGCTTTTGTCCAAAGTTAGTAATCTACTTGTGATATGAGAAATTAGGAGTTGAAGCAAAAGGATATATCCTACTGGCAAATTTCGCCTCGATATCAAAAGAGTTGAAAGGCAATCGTCGCTTACAGAATTTGTATACAAAACTAGTGCGCTGGAACAAACAGAAAAACGCTTCGTTTACAATATGATGAAGCTGTATGTTATAATACAACCTTTTTCCTTCCCAAACAAACATTATATATTCAAAAGTCTGTTGATATTCCTTCGACCGTAAAAATTCATCGCGTCTGAACACTAAGTCGGTTGTTATTTCAATTTTCAACACTATAGGGAGGGTAATCCTAAAATATGGCAGGCTTTTCCAATTTTTAAAAAAAAGTTGGTAGGCAATAGCAATAAATTACAGTATTTGATCACTAGACGTTGAACAATTATAGTTACTCTATGAGCGAAAACCTGAAATAATTTTTAATTCGATGAAACTTATGAAATAAATGTATTTAATGTTAGACTTTTGCCTTGGTGGGTCGCCAATTTTTCTAGAAGTTATTTTCCATTTCCATTTTCAAGTGTAGTTCATAAGTAATTTGATCCAAGTTTATAATAAATTGATTATGATACGTGTATTTTACACAGTCATATCTTGGATATATGTAATTATATTTTTAATAATCAATTTATAGGTGGTGAGTTTCCCTTTACCGCCGTGTATACTATAAAACTTTATTTTATAGCAGAAGTCATATAAATCATTGTAAAACTTCTGACAATTCTGAATGTTATGTTACACGTCAAAAATTTCAAGGTTAGGTTTTGCCGTCGTGGTCGTTTCCATAGAAACAGCATTATCATATGATCTGAAGACCATTTTATATCGTGCTCCGCGTCCCAGTTGAAATAACAATGACCGATATCATTAGAATGCACAATCATCTGTGTCACTTTATCTACCCTTGTGGTTAAGTAATCACATTATCTACCCTTACCTTTAAAGAGCGGCTTAGCCCACTCATTCAAACCTATTAAAATTTCAATTTAACATACGCTATAAAATAAATTTAATTAACTTACCCGAATACGGTAGAACGGTGAATTAAACTCACCTGAAACAAAAAAAAGAATAAGTTATAATTTTGATTAGTACTCGGTAGATTACACGTTGTAAGGCATTGGTAAATAATGGTAGTTTTAGGAATTATGATGTAGAATATATAATCGTTACACATAAAATAAGCGGAAGATTGTTATTAGCCTGATGCTTATACGCAATGTTTAGCTTCGATAAAATGCCGAAGAGTAGGACAGTGAAGCTTATAGGTGTTGAACCAATTCCAAAGAAGAAAGATACTCGATACGCCCCTGTAATTTTCAACTGGTCCTAAAAGAAACATGTAAAAACGTAATAAAAGAGGTCCCACCAAATCAACCTTTTTATTTAAAGACAAAACCTAAAATTTTTAAGAAAAACAAAAGACGCCACTGTAGTATCAAACTGCCCTTTGTATTGTAGCCAGAGCTATTCTATATCTGGCTGGAGTATCCAGAAATCAGTAATTTAAAATGCAGTATAAAATTGAAATCAATTATTACAGTCATTACCTAAAATTATGCCTACTACATGAAATTATTACTCTTTATTAGCGAGCGTGTTTCTTGAAATTTCATAATTTGTGAATAACAAATCTAAATAAAATAATCTGACCAAAATTAAAAAAAATTGTATACATACTATTTGAATATTCCATAATCAATTTTTTTGAATAATTAAAATTACTGGAATCTCAGAAGAGTAATAACATGGATAAAATTTTCAAAATATTGTTAGGTACGTACCTACATCTGAATTTTGTATGATCAACATATGATGAATACACAAACTGCACATTCATTGAGGTTGACGTTATTAACAAAGCATTCCTAACACATTCAGAAAAGTAACTAAGAAGAGTAGTTATTCAAATTCTGTGACTATTGTATTATTCAAATATTTATTTAATCAGTTCCCAATTTTAGAATAGTACCTGATATACGAACAGTTCAATTATTATTCGTCCCATACCAACCCCGTCAGACGCATATTTTAGTTTCTTCTTTGGACCACTTTCAAAATTTGTATTTGCAAATTGAGATATTTGTTAAAACAGTAACGTTAGACTTCAACATCTGCAACATTATCAAAATTACCGTTATTTATAATGGGTCGTTATTGTGAATAGGAGATTTTTCCGATCCAATTAAATTCCTATTTTGTAATGATTGAGAGCTGAGTGAAAAAAATTACTCCTAAGCTCAAATACGGATTAGGTTCTTCAAAAAGGCACCTTTGATCTAATATAGGGTAAAACATTTTCGACCTGAGCCATCAAATAAAAAGGCGATGCACGATTAGGGGAGCCTACAATAGGCACGTGTAAAAGCCAATACAAAATTAAACCGTCTGCCTTTTGTAAGTCGATCCGATTATTTACAAACTTCGAAGTGTTAAAACGTACCTTCCCTTAGGCTTAGAATAATAAAAAGAATCGCTCATCGAACATTTATATAACAGTTTATTAAGCACGCGTGAGGCATCTGCTATTTACACGAGAACAGAGACATCTGCCTGTAGTGGGTATGCCACCTGGCCGTGGCTACAAAAGGTAGCGCGCGGCAATTTAGGTAAACACTACGTCCACCCCCAACTACTCCACCAATAAGAATAAACTTAATTTCGACACGTTGCCCGAAAGCCGAAATCACCCCCATCGTTCTCCCATTGTCTTCATATGACACATTCTATTTAAATTAACACGAAAATTGCAATGCGGGGATTGTTCGAATGGACTTAAATGAACAAAGGCGTAGTATAATAGGATTCAGTGGTATGCTGTCTGACAGCATTAATAACAATCTACCCTTGTTTCTGATTATGCACTACATAATGCCTTATCATTTTAAAAAATGTTCCTTGGCGCGGATTAAACGCGACGCACTTGCCACTTTGTTTTTCTCGGCGACATAAATTAATTTAATTTGTAATGTTAGACGGCATATGGTAGGGACCCTTAAAGAAATTTGATATGCTTATAGTTACACCTATTTATAACACGTCTTGCGAGTTTGTAAGGGTTGAGAAGTTAATTTCGATCCAGCGGTAATTAGGTTGTGACGTTAACGCATCGGGTAACTAATAGATAGATAATGAAGTCAGTTGACGCTTTGTACAAAAATTGTCTCGTTTTTCATGTCATCAGATTGTTCTTGGAGCGAATTCGTGATTAAATATTTCATAACCTGCTAGGTTGACAAATCACACCGACTAGAAGTTTTCGTGACATCTTCGCGAAAATCGCACGCTCGCATGTGAACCTACAATTACAACTAAAGAGACGAATTTCTTTGGGGAAGTGCGCGCAATGGGACAAACAAACACACGTACCTACCTTTTAAATAATTGCACAAACAGAAAGCGCATAATAAAAAATGTAACCTCCACATTATATTATGATACACCGAACCGAAAACGTCAACTTCGGTCGCAAGCACATGTTCCACTATCTGTCAGACCTGACTGGTCGGCGTATGGTATGTTACCCTAAACAGTCCACCCTTCTTGCATTTATTATACATGCGCCACAGCACTTGTAATTAATTATTCGTTATAATCAACTGGTACCAGAATTTATATTGTAGCTTATTTTCCGGATTTCTGACCAATTAAACCAAGGAAAAGCACTGAAATTAATAAATATATTTCATGTAACAACGTTAAATTGGACGCAAGAACAGTTTATCCGAAACCCATTTCAATAGGTCAATGGATATGAAAATTTGAATAAAGGTCCACTATAATTGAGAACAATGACAACATGACTACGGACCACAAAAGAAACTATTAATTTTATTTATTAAAAAAATATTTCCCGGAAGATGAAATAGTACTTTAAATAACCCAATACAAAAATCCATTAGAAAAGACTTTTCTAATAAGAAATGGCGCTATTAATTCGTAAAAACGCAAGAAACTACTAACAATACACTATCCAAGACACAGTTTGCCAGGCAAAAAAGAAGATATTTTAACAACATTTAAAAAAATAGTGATCATTTTTTGAAATTAGAAAAAAATGCTCTATCAAGTGACACAAAAAGTAAAAATGAAACTAGCCATTTTATAGAGGGAAAAAAGTGACCATAATAATGTGTCATTTATTTTGAAATACCTTTTTAAATAACTTCGGTAAAAAATAAAAACGATTTTGCAAAATTTGGTTTTTTCCGAATGTAGTCGGAATTTTTTCAATTTCGTTATTTTGTTCAGCATCAATATACGCATCTTTGACAAATTTAAACTACCTACCTATCTCTTACAGCTTCCGAGATCCCCATGGGGGCTCTCGAATTTGAATCAGCCTACCCACTCAGCAATCTCGATACATTATGAACAAAACTGGGAATTGCAATAGGTCTGCTGATCATATTAATTAATATAATTCTGTTCTAATTTTGTATTTAATAACATTTTAATTCAAAGGATATTCGGATATCCTAACCGATCCGAAAATGTCGACGTTGAAAAATTGGAAGCTGTGCAAGCGCGGACGAACAAGAGGGTGGAAGGCTAAAGGGAAGTTTCCTCATATGCCACATGCTTTTGCGGATTCGTAGCGTATATTTTATTTCGAAATACAGAAGATACGGATTATTAAAAAAATCCTAAAGAAGGTTTTAAAAGGATTCTACAACATTCTAGGGAAAGTATAGAAATTCTAAGTAGATTCTATACTTCGATTTTTTTTATTCGTATTAAATTTTGTCAAATATATTTATTAATTCGGTTAATATTATTTGTTACTAATTCAAGGAATTTTAAAAGAATTCAAGAACAAATTTGTTTCCTAAACTTCTTATGAACATTTACAAAAGGTGTTTAAAGAGATTTATATCAAATTATTCCAGAAGAAAGTTTCTTTAAGGTTTTTAGAAAAACCGCGAGAAGCCGATAAGGATTTTTAAAAAATTTCACCAAAAGTTTGCAGCAAAGTCTTTAATGACTAACTTCCAATAAGATAAGACGACTTTTAAAAATATTTTCATGAACATTAGAATCGTAAAACGTGTCCAAGAAGGTTTTTCCAAAAATATTTCTAACCAACATTATAAAATTCTCAAAAACTTTTATAATAGTTTCCACCTCGACTGCCACAAATAATTGTATTACAATTTGCTAGCAGACTTTGAGAACGATGTAGTACGATATTTAAGAAAATTCCGAGATGTCTAAAAGATTACGAAAAATGAGTTTGCCAAGAAGGTTATTAAAACTGTTTTTAAACTGGTTCTATTGTGTTCTTTTAGTCTATTTGTTCTACTTTTGATCGCCTTATTTTGAGTTGATATCCAATAGGATTAATAAATTGAACGTGCGACAATATTCCAGCTTAAAAAACAGCGAATAACTAAATTCGAAGACTCTTTTGTCTTCTATTACATCTTTTAGTGTTGTTAATTGTTTTTTGATAACAGTGCTGAATTTTGCCGCAGAAAAATGTGTTCAACTTCAAGGCAAGTGTACTGATATTATTTTCTTAATTCTCCCATGAGATTCGATGTGATTAATTTCTGAATTACCGATCAAGAATTTTGGAAATCTAGGTTTATTGAATGCACCAGAACTCTTGCGTCCATCGAAACTACAAAATCTCACACGAAAACATCAAGGAAACACAATAAAATGATCGCCCAGGTTTCCCGAAGTTTGGAAATAATCTCGATATTTTTAAAAACATCCGTAAACCTACTAAATAAGTTTCAAAGAATATCAACTTGTATTCCCAAAAAAAAGCTAGTAGTGTTTCTTACTCCCGATGAACGTTTACATAAAGATATAGATATAGATTTAAGTTAAAATTTCAAAAATTTTTAAGTTTTTCAGGTCTTTGATAGTAGGATTCAATTAAAAAATATCTCTAAAAAATAAAAATAAGGCTTCTAAAGAGCTGTCTCTAGAACTTCTAAATTTAATTAATTTAATTAAAGTGTCTATTAAAATCTAATTGAAGACTCCTACAAAGATTTATTTTCAATGAGATTTTTTTAAATTGTAACCTGGAAATATTTTCAATAAGACTCCCTCGAAGACTCCTAAAAAATGTCAGTTCCCTGAAGTGCGGAAGAAGTTTATGGCTTTAAAGAAGGTTTAAAAAAATGTTTTCAGAAATTTTGTTATGTTTACTAAAAGAGTGGCAATAAATGGCAACTTAAAGTTAATCGTGTTAAGAAACATGCAGAAAGTATCTCAGAATAGTATCAGGATGGGCGAGTGGGAGTAGTAGTATTTGGATGACGAGGAAAATTAATCTGGAGAAATAATTGATAACATTAAATCAGGGGTAATAAAAATTAATAAACCCACGCAAAGCTATAATGAAGTGGCGGGAGCATACGTTTAATCTTTGACCCTGTCCCAGTAGGTTGATCTCCAACGCTCAACATCTAATGTTTCCTAAATTAATAATTATAGATATCCATTTTAAAAATAACATTGTAAATTAAATTGATGAAAAATATTGTCTTTCAAATGCCATTTTACTAGCTGTAAACAGCCAACTAAATTACATTCATGTCACTTCAGATTGAAGTTAATGTGTTTTCAACGCAGCAAAACAAGAACTCGTTCAGTTACAATGTATTCAATGGTTAATGCTTTAATTATAGGAAAGCAGAACAGTTTCACATATGCGAGAACATCAAGAAAAATTAGTAAACATTGAATAATGGTTTTAGACTACCTACTTATGTAGCTGCTATTCGAAATCGTAGAGGACTTTAATTCGTATTGCAGTCGATAGTTTAGTAAGGGTGCAAAGATGCGCGTAGGGTATTTTCCAGATCAAGGATGACGAAACGTGACCTTTACGTATCTTTGTTTAATACGTGAAAGAAAACAAAAGGCCGTCTAACATTGCCAAAGAAATATATGTTGCCATTTGAAAATTTTTGCCATGATATGAAACTATGACGTCAGAAAAAAAATTGAAAACCGTCAGATTGTGGCAAATATTTAAACATTCAACTTTTATAACCAACTTTTTTTGATATGACCAATAGTAACGGCTCCAGCATCAATGTTCCTTACTTTTTATTCACCCGGTATATAATTGGAAATTTATTTTCAAGCAATAGTAGCAAGGAGAAAATGAGTAATCGCACCCCCAGATACATTTGTTACCCATCAATGGAGAAATTTAGGAAATCCAGACTGGACTTCACAACCTTGGTTCCCAGTATTTGTGAAACTGGCAATAGGCAAACCTCTTTATTTCGGACCGGACGTTAATATACCCTTACAGCCAAGAAGCCCACCCGCTTGCATCCACAAACTTACCCTGGTGGAATTTCGGTTATTATAAATATCAATATTATAAATAAATATTATTATCCAGAAAGCAATGGTGTGTATGTAAACGCCGTCGATACGGGTCTAAACTCTATTTCGGAACCTACAACCTCACAATATGGCAGTACATTCAGAAATTGGTGGAATTTCCGAGAAGCTTTAGGAGATGACGTCTTCCAGACATCAACTCAAGAAGTGACTTCTTTTCTACAACACATCGTTACCATCAACTCGCACAGGGCAGCGCTGTCATTAATTCTGCCAGGAAACCTAGGTGAGGATCCAATGCTCAAGAGATTTATGAAGGGGGTGGGAAGATTAAGGCCATCCATACAACTGCGTTTGGGTGGCAAATTTTTAATTAATTTTGAAATGCTTTGTCCATGAAGTTAATAAACCTGCTCATATTAGCAACTCCTAGACGCTTGATTCTACCCAGATTCGACGATCCCCACCTCTGTGTTTTCTACTGCTTCCAGAGGTACTTACAGGAGAGTAAAAAATAAGGCAAAGAAGGTCTATTCCTAACCTACCAAAGATTTATATAGAACCGCTTCGAAACAAAAACTAGATGGGATAAAGTGCACTCTGCAGTTAGCGGGTATTGACACAAGCATCTTCAAATCTCACTCGAATAGGCACGCGTCCACATCAGCTGCAAAAAGAGCGGAGATGCAATTTTTAGGGACTCTGCAGGGTGGAGTAGGAGCTCCAACGTTATTATGGATAGAAGCGAGTTCGCTCGCAGTATTTCCAATATGTAACTCCACCAAGAAATATAAATTTTATTAGTGTAATTCAAACTGAAATAGTTATCTTTAAACATCCTACGTTGTTAAATTAATAACATCTTTGGATGGGATGCCTATAATTCTGATCGAACTTCAGGTAAGTTTATTTGATCGTAGAATTTTCCTTCCCATACTTTTCCAATACAGTTAACAAAAATGTTAAAATATAATTGAGGTTTGACCTTTTGTCTTAAAATGAAACTGGCACTTTTTAGTTTTGCGTTGGATTACACTGCGGAGGCACAACAGACCTAATTTACCTAATTGTTGGAAAAATAGCGGGAGAATAATTATTCCCTATATAAAATACGTACCTCCCACCG